GCTGGACCACACTGGAGCCAGCCGCCCGGAGCGGCTCCTGAGGCCTGCTGGTGTTGCTGGCTGCTCTTTGTTTCCCTCATTAGCAGAGTGACACCCCCTCCCCACCCCTCACGTTTTCTTTATAGCCACAGTGAGCTGTTCCGAGAACTTGGTGAAGAAGCAATGTGGGAAATGTGTGGGCTCCGGTACGTTTCGCCCAATCCGTTTCACCCAAAACCACTTTTCCCAATGACATTTGCCCCGAGACATTTCACCCATTGCACTTCATCCAAAAAGATTAAGCCCAATTTCCGTTTGACCCTATGGTATTTTAGGCTTAACCGTGTTGATTTTTTTTTTCCAGAGTTTAAAACACTCATCTGCAAGATCTGATGTCACATCTTTCGAAGGCCGTTCGGGAAATGCTCTCTGTAAACATTGCTTTTTGTAACTCGCTCACTGGTGAAACACAAATGCTCAGCCCTACGTTTGAAAGGCACCAAATGTTCAGTGTCTTTGTCAAGGCACTAAAACTGCCTTTTCAGCACCTACACCTAACGGCTCTTTAATGTCTTTATAGAGGCACAAACCAAAAATTTCTCTAGAATCCAGGAAGGCCCGACTAGCACAATTGTTTTTCCAGTGCTTCGACCGGCTCTAACGCTGTAAAATTGGCGTGCCTTTCGGACGTTCAATAACTTTCTAAATTGATTATTTATCGGTTCTTTCTAGAGACATTTGCTTTAATGTCTTTAATGTGTGCAATGTGCGTCCGTAAAATCCTTATCTTATCAGTACTGTCAATCAGTAAAATAGTTTACAGAAAAGAGAAGAAAGCGGATGCAAGCCATTTCGGAAAAAAACGATGACCGATTAAGGTTTAAAAAAAATGATAGAAAAATAATTATGCGAAAAGATAATTCCTTGATGACCTTTCAAGAAGATTAAAGGCCACGTGCCCCGCTGCGTGTCCGCCGCGTGGCTGCGCGCCGCCGTCACCGCCGTCCTCGCCACCTCGTTACGGGCCTTGTTCTCAAAAGCGGTGGCCGGCAGACAAGGTGGCCGTCGGGAGCACGTGCCGCACGTGGACGTCCCCGTCGAAGACAAGAGGGATAGATTGCGCGACACCTCGACCCATTCACAGCGCCGGCGGCCTGCTGCTCAGCGCTCAGCCGTCCGCATTCCGAGCGGGGCGTGCATGTCCTGCACGTCTGCGGCCCCCTCTGCCTGCGGCTCCAAGCCTGCGAGGCCTTGTCCTTGTCCGGGCGCCACCGGCCCTGCTACAAGGACCTCTGCCCTTTGCCCCGCAGGTGGAGGTGGCGGTGCTGGGCGTGCTGCTGGTGCTCACCGTGCTGGGCAATGCGGTGGTGCTGCTGGCGCTGTACGCCCGGCGGCGCTGCGGCGGCCGCAGGAAGCTGTCGCGCATGTTCTACTTCATCCTGCACCTCAGCGTGGCCGACATGGTCACCGCCTTCTTCAGCGTCCTGCCGCAGCTCGTCTGGAAGGTACAAAAATCAAAATGTTATTTTAAAGAGCATTTCGCTGCAGGGAATCAAAACATGTTTCATGGCAAGTTTGACGTGCACGTTATTTAGGTGACGTTCCGGTTCCACGGCGGCAACTTTCTGTGCAAGGCGGTCAAGTTCGGCCAGCCGCTGGGTGTGTACCTCAGCTCGTACGTGCTCACGGCCACGGCGTGCGACCGCTACCGGGCCATCTGCCACCCGCTCACCTACTGCTCCTGGACCTCTCGCCGCGCCAAGACCATGGTCTGGGCCGCCTGGGGAGTGGCCATCTGCTTCTCCGCACCTCAGGTGCGTTCCGAAGGTTACACTGCCGGACAACGACAGACACTGGAAGCAAATTCCGTACCCTGTGTAAACTGTTGTAACTTGTTTATTTAGGTTTGTAAGCATCCCCAGACATCCGGTGTTGACATTTCCTTCTGAGCTCGACCGGTCAAGGTCACAAGTGGCACAAGGGAATTGCAGGAATCTGCTTGCGAATCCCCAACCTCCAAGTAAAAGTAACAAAAGGGATGTGCACAGCACAGATGCTTCAGCTACAACACTACGGTTCGTTTGGGCGTGGATTCGTAGTTGAAAAGTCTTCTTTTGGCCTTCCTTACATCTCAACTTTTTTCAACTTGTAAAAGTACACCCCCCATCCCCTCCATCTCCCTGCTCATCGCACTGTCTCTCATGTTTACACATTGGATTCCAATTTCTTGCCCCTCCTCGCCTCCCCC